ATAACCTTTTTAAAAATCGCTTGAGACGAGCGATGGATGGTGGCACACACCTTTAACGCCGGCACTCAGGAGGCAGAGAAAGGCAGATCACTGTGAGTTTAAGTCCAGCCTGGTCTACAGAATGAGTTCCAGGACAGCCAGCATTACACAGAGAAACCCTTGGGGGGGGGGGGGATGAATTCAGAATTTCTTGACCAGGTGGACCAACACAGAGAGATCCCTCATCAATCAATAGGATTGTAGTAAAATACATACAGGAAAATCATCTTAACCATTTGAAATGTATAGTTTGGCAGTTTAGTTCAGTTATAACCTTCACATTGACAACCAGTCTGTCTAGCAGGTTTTTTTGTTGTGTGCATGTACATGTTCTTGTGTGTGTGTGTGTGTGTGTGTGTGTGTTTGCAAGTTCTCTTCATTAAACCTGGAGCTCACCAATTAGTAAGCCGCAGGGACTCTCCTGTCTCCATCCCCAGCGATGGAATTACAGTATGCCACTACACCCAGCTTTTACTTGGGTGCAGGGGACCAAATAGTACGACAAGCACTGTATTGACTGAGCCATCTTCCAAGTCTTGGGTTTTTGTTTTTGTTTTCTGAGGATTTTTCTGTGTAGCCCTGGCTGTCCTGGAACTAGCTCTTGTAGACCAGGCTGACCTCGAACCCACAGAGATCCACCTGTTTCTGCCTCCCAAGTGCTGGGATTAAAGGTATGTGCCACCACCACCTGGCTTAGTTTTTCTTCTCTTAAAAGCTGACTGGCTCAGTGGTAGACTCTGGATGTCTAGCACATGCGAGGCCTTTCCCTCCTGCAAGCCCACACCTTCCCCCATCCTGGCAACCACTAGAGCTCTGTTTGTATTATTAGACTCTTTATAAGCTGAGGAGCCCAAAGTTCAGGGAGTAATTTGTTCTTGGGAGACAGACCTTGGATTTGGACTCAGATCCCCAGTTACCTTCTGAGGCACTTCATATAGCTTCACCACACAGAGCATCTGTGACACATTCAACCGCTCCTGCCTTGGACAATGGCCACCATGTGCTAAGGTTCTCCTCTGTGTCAGTCTCACACTTAATCCTCCCAGCAGCCCTGGAGCCATGTAGGGGGCGGTGTCCAATTCCCAGTTTAGGATCTAGCACAGAAAGGGGATAATAACTTGGCTCCAGATGATGTCTTTAAACAGTCTAGACAATACCAAATCAGTTTGTTATGCATTTTCAAAGCTATGCTCTACATCTTTGGGAGAATCCTCTCTTTGGGGAAAACCAGCCAGCAGAAGCATTAGGAGACCAAGCGCCCCAGTCCTCTGTGCCCTGCCCTCCTCCTGCAGGGCCCATCTGCTCTCCTCACCTAGCCCAGCCCCCAGGGCCTTAGTGCTGGATTGACTACCAGCTTCACTGATCCGCAGCCAAAGGCGGAGACAGGCATTGCAAGGGAACGTGAGACACTGTCCTCGCCCTGCCGCTCCTCCCTCCAGGCCTAAGGAACCCAAGTCAGGCTGTAGCAGAGCTGTCCTTTCCCGCCTCTGTGCCTTTGCACAAGCTGTTCAAGACTGAAGCTCTCCCTCCTACAGTCTTCCTCTCTGGCATGCCCACAGTCTGCAGACTGCTTGAATGTCACCTCCACTGCAAAGCCTCCTTCCTCCCCAGGGAAAAGGGGGTGGCAGATGGGGACATGACGGGACGCATGTCTGGGTGCAGCTGTAAGGTCAAGGGAGTCCCAAGTCATTTCCTTGAGAGAATTCCAAACACAGAGCCATAATTTAAACTGTTTAACAGATTAATGCCTCTGATAGCAAAGAAAAACTACAGTTGGGCTGCTCATTGATAACCATAGGACTGAGTAAAATATGGGGCTGGAGAGCTGGTTCAGAGATTAAAAGTGCTTGTTCTTTTAGGGAACTGGAGTTTGGTTTCACGTGCCCACATTGGATGGCTCACAATGGCCTGTAATTCTAGCTCCAGGGGAACTGACTCCTGGCTTTTCAAGAGTTCTCAGGGCATCGTCACAGGCATGCACGCGCGCGCGCACTCAAGCACACACACACACACACACACACACACACACACACACACACAGGGTGTGGGGAGTTAATAAAATGAATCTTTAGAAAAAAAATGTGCGGTGGTGGCGCACGCCTTTAATCCCAGCACTCGGGAGGCAGAGGCAGGTGGATCTCTGTGAGTTTGAGACCCGCCTGGTCTACAAGAGCTAGTTCCAGGACAGGCTCCAAAATCACAGAGAAACCCTGTCTCGAAAACAACAACAACAACAACAAAAATAACCATTCCCAAAGCCCCCCAGGAACACAGATCCAGTAGCAAATGCTTATATTTTAAATATGTGCGAGGAAGGGCCTCATTTCCCAGGGCCAAGCCGTGCTAAAGCCTCCACATGGAAGGTGTTCATCATTTGCTGAATGATGGGGACAGATAGGACTTTCCAATTCACTGGAGAAAACCTAAAACAGTATTTCTGAATAACACTGAACAATAGGGCAGGAAGCTGCCTCCTCCTCCCAGGACAGCCCCCCAGCCCCCTCCATGCCCCAACCCTCGGAGTTAAGCAGCTAGCTGCCACAGGAAGACCTTCAGCCACTGTCCTTCCTGCCCCGCTCCCCCAGGTGCTTCCCACTCTGTTCAAGCCTCCTCTCTACTCCCAGGGGGATAAAGAAAAAGCACTCCTGAGGCTGACAAGCTGGGTGCACCGAACCATCCTGCCCCCGGGCGCAGTCCTTGGGAATAAAAAGAATAGCAAGAGGAACAGATGAGGATTTAAAGCTTGACAGCAAGGGGACAAAAGGCCTCAGAGTTTACAAAGGCTCTGCTAGAAGAGCCCTGAAAGGGGAGCTCCTTCTGCGTGGGACCTGGCCCTCTTCTCACCCTAGAGACCTGCTGTTGAGCAGTACAGGCCTCCTCTGTGTTTCTAGGAGTTTGGTTATTGACCCCTGACTCAGTTTTCTCTGAGTGAGAGCTCAACTTTCTGGGCTGCTGGCAATCCCAAATACTAGGCTTGAATACATATATATACCATGAACTTGAACCCACCCACTGGCCCAGCTTCCAGTTCCTTCTGCATTTCCAGCAGAAACAATAATGTAAGGATAAGGTCACCCCAGAGTTGCTATGATTTCCCAGACCTTCAGGCCATCGAATATACCCACGGACCTTTCTGTAAGTTTTTCCTGCTACCAAAGGTAGGATCCATCCGAACACCTGTGGTCTGATTGTTCATTCTGTGCAGGTGTGCTTTAAATCCCTTCTCAGCTTCCTTAGCTAGACAATTCCAACTGTACAGAAAAGGGAGATGACAGGGCTGGAGAGGTAGCTCAGTGGCTATAAGTGTATACTGCTCAGAGGGGGAGTGGTGGTGCAGGCCTTTAATCCCAGCACTTGGAAGGCAGAGGCAGGTGGATCTCTGTGAGTTTGAGGCCCGCCTGGTCCACAAAATGAGATCCAGAACAGCCATGACTACTCAGAGAAACCTTGTCTCAAAACAAGAGCAGCAACAAGTGTATACTGCTCTTGGAGAGGCCCCAAATTTGTTGTCCAGTGCTCTCGCCCATTGGGTGGCTCACAATCACTTGTAAACCCAGCAGGGGAGTGGACCCTCTTCTGGCTTCCTCAGGCACCTGTACTTGTACGTGCATAAACGCACCCACCCCCCAACCAATACAAATCATTTAAAATAAAATAAATTTTAAAAAAGGAAACGGGTCTGGAGAGTTATTCCTGAAGAAACACAGCCTAGGCCCTGAATTTGCTCTGTCTGACCTTTATGGCCACACTCTTCTGGCTCTTGTAAATTCTTCAAGATTCTAATTTACATGGTGGCTGGATCAATTTTACAGTAGGTAGAAGGACTAATTTTGTGTGGCATCGACACATTTTTGTGTCCCAGCTTTGGGAGCGAAAGAGCAGCACAGGTAGAAAAGCTGCACTGTGGCTGGTAGGGGTCCTGCTAGCTCATTTGTGGATCCTTGAGTCATATAGCCATAAATAACTGGGCACTGGGAACAGGACACTAATAAAAGCATGGCTGGAAATCATATTTGAAAAAAAATTTTTTTTTTTTAAAGTTCTTCAGTGCGTGGATGTATCTGCAAAACAAAAGAAAAGCCCTTTTCCCCAGCCCAGGCAGAGAAGTCTCCTGTTCAGTCAGAGACAACAGGCTTCTGGGCATCAAGCCAAGGTTCTTGGGATATTTATAACTTGAAGAGGGTGGGAGTCCCTAATAAGCTGCTATATTCTTTTTCCATCACTTCCCTCTCCAAGGCTACAGCAAGCTGGAAGCTCTTCCCCACGCAGAATGCCTGCTTTGCCTAGCCCTCGTCTTCCATTGTCTAATTCCTTCATCCCGGCTGAAGGCTCCAAGTCCTACTGTTTGGAGGACTCTTACTGAATGTAGCTTAGCTGCTGTTGGTGTTTATTGTTCAGCTGCCGTGGCCTCGGGGATCTGTTTATGAGCTTGTGGTTTTTTCGAGCAATAGAACAGTCTGAGGTCTCTGCAAATCTTGAAGCTTTGGGCTCAATCCTACCAGCAAACTCTGGCCTTTGCCTGTTCATCTATGGATTCGGATTTCTACCCATGGCTCTGAGATCTCCGGAATCTGCTGGTGATCTCCAGAATCTTTTCGAACGTCAGGGCTCTTTAGAACTCTGAGGCGTGGGGATCTCAGGTCACTCGAGGATCTTGGAACCAGCGATCCGTGGTGTTTCACAGACCAGGAGGTAAGCCTGTTCATTCTGCCCTATCCCGGGTTTGTGGCTTCTTTGAAACAGAGACTGCTAACATCCTTAGGACCCTTTCAGGTTCATTCATCACAGGCCCTGTGTCTCCATGGTGTTGGGAGGTCTTCAAGAATCTTTCAGCAGAGAGACCGTCAATCGTGCAAGTTCCTTGAGGTTCCATTCTGAGACCAGCTATCTCCCTACACATCCTAGCTCCTTACCCATTTCTGATTTCAGTGTTTTGGCGTTTTAGATAACAAGTGAACAAGTGCACTTGGGTCGGGTCTCTATAAAACAGCGCGAGAAGCTCCCTACAGGGTTAACAGGATACTGGATCCTGGCTGCAGACTGCACTCCCACATAGGGCACGCAGCACGAAGCCTACTGGAATAAGTAGTCTGCAGGCAGGTTGCGAAACGCAAGTTCTTTTGGGAGTTGTAGTTCTCGGACGCGGAGAGCAAGCACTGCTGGCGGCACTGGGAGGTGTTGCGAGTACGTGGGCGGGGCCCAAAGTTCCACCGTGGCCTGGGAGTCTCCCGAGGGAGGGAACTGGAGCTTTTTCCCGCTCTGGACTGGGCTGTCAAATAAGGGTTTGATCCCAGCTGAGTTCAGCCCAGGCCGCCACACTCGCGGATAATATCTGACTCAAAGACGGCCGTAGGGCCATGAGAAAAAATCAGGGAAGCCTCCTTTACTGAGTCGTGCTGTGGTCTCCGAGAAGAAAGTGAAGGACGTTGCCCTGTCTCCTCCCTTTTGTTCTTTTTCCACCCCAGCTCTTGGCCTCTAAGTGGCCTTTGTACGCCAGAGTGGAACTCCAAGTCCCGGCAGGCCGCGAGGCGCGCGCACGCGTGGTGGAGATGCTCGGCCACGCGGCAGGAGGAGGGCTGATGATTTGGCATCTGATTGGCCTCGTGTTTGATGAGGTTTTTTTTGCTGATTGGTTGAGGTTGCTGCCGGAAAGGCCCTTGCCCGGAGATGGAAGAGCAGAGGCGTTCTGTAGGGCTGGGTTGAAAGCCTCCGTCTAAGAGCATCGGCCTGACCCCCAGTCCGGGGGGGCACTAGCCAGGGGCTGTCCTCCCTTACTCTAGCCTTGCATGTACTTGGTATTAACCGAGCCGCGGAGAGCGGGTCACGCTCGGGGGTCAGAGAAGGAGGAGGGTGACCGGTCCTGGGCCGTTCCTGCATACCCGGCAACCAGAACTCCAGCCCTAGGGAGTGGGCAGGGCCTCTAGCCGCGCCTCGCTCCCTGCTTTTCATCTCCTTCAGCGTTGTCTACTAGCTACTTTTCCTGCTCTCTCTCCCAGGAGACGAACGTTTGAGCCTGAGATGGCAGCCACCCTGCTCATGGCTGGGTCCCAGGTAAGCCGGGGGTGGCTTCCCGGACCTCGCCTCTGCTTACCCATCTCGCCCGGTGTTTCCCCGTTCTGCAAACCCTATAGGAAATTCCCTGGGGTTAACTCATTTCACTGTTTTGCTGCAGGGGCTTAGTGCTGGCTAATTTAGTCACATACAGGCATATATCTAACATCTACTGTATGCCTTTAACTACTGAGGAGAATAAAACCGAACAAGATGGGTGATACCCAACTATCTGTAGAGAGAGAGGTGCACCCGATTAACCTTGATACAATATGATAAACCCTCTGCCTTAGCAAGAAAGTGTTGTGGTGTGGGAACAGCAAAATCGTGGCGTGATTAACTCTATGCGGTATCCGAGGAAGGAGTGAAGAGCAAATGGGGGGAGGGGGGCAGGAAGAACGACAGTTGGCGCTCGAACTGGACCATAAAGAAGAGAATGTCACTGGTCTTAGAAAAGGAGAACATTGCAGGTAGAGGTCTGGAGCCGTGTAAGTTCTAGGTCTGAAGAGGATGTGTCCCAAAGTGGGCAGGGATATCTAGTAGATCGCCCTGCCTTTTGACCACATGTCTTTTTTTCTTTCTTTCTTATTTCTTCTTTGCACTCTACAGATCAGACTTAATGCCAATGCCTTCTCGACATTTCTAACCATGTCTCTAATTTCAAGAAGAAAGGCTGGGACTAAACTCCTAGATGCTAAGTAGTGAGGAAGCATTGTGTGATTTCAGGCCCCTGTGACATTTGAAGATATGGCCATGTACCTCACTCGGGAAGAATGGAGACCTCTGGATCCTACACAAAGAGACCTTTACAGGGACGTGATGCAGGAGAATTACGGAAATGTTGTCTCACTGGGTGAGTAGGCATTTTTACCTTTTCTCTCGTCTCCTGTTTTGAACCTGTCAAAATGACTTAGGTCTTTCAGTGCAGACTTGTTTGTTTGCTTTTAAGGTAAACCAGACAATTAGTGATGCAAAGCTTTAAATGTGGGATGATCTATGTTATATGGTCGGGGGAAAAAAATGGTTTCTGCAGTTTTAGAGACTTTGAGGATCCTCATTCCATGAGTCATTTGCCATCCGGCAGCCTGTTTGTACAGATCGCTGACCAAACAGGTCTGGCGCTGTGGTGCCTGCCAGGACATAAAGGCTCTGTAAATGCCCTGTAAAATGTGCTTTTTCTCTAGGGCGCTAGAAGACGAGGGCTCCTAAGCAGGTTCACAGAAGGGCAGAAGCCACCCCTTTTGTGTTTGTTTTGGCTCCATGGCTGCAGTTTTGCCTCAGGTACTTTATCTGGGTAGGTTCTTGTCTTGAGCAGCTTCAAAGGTGCTCATCCTTCAAGTGTGCCTCGTTGTCTCAGAGGAATCCTCTCATGGTTAGATCACAAATCCCATTGAGAGGAGAACTCATGAGGCTGGGGGCTGCCGCTCAGTGGGGAGGGTGTTAGCGTACTTGAAACCCTGGGTTTGATTCTCAGCAGTGCATAAAGCCAAGTAAAGGACTAAGATATTTTAAAATGTAACAAAAGGTAACCTGAGGGGTTTTCTTAGTTTGGACTTTCTTTGATGTCCCAATTTCTTTGGCTTCTTCTATTTTGTGAATTTTTTAGTCTTTTGGCTTTTTGAGGGGCCCACCACCCAGCTCCCAAATAAATCACACAGAGGCTTATTATTACTTATGAATACCCTGTCTTAGCTTGTCTTGTTTCTTGCCAGATTTTCTTTTTTTTTTGAATATTTTTTATGGTTTAAACTTTATTTCATGTGCATTGGTGTGAATTTGTCAGATTCCCCTGCAACTGGATCTTCAGACAGTTGTGAGCTGCCATGTGGGTGCTGGGAATTGAACCCGGGTCCTCTGGAAGAGCAGTCAGTGCTCTTAACCACTGAGCCATATCTCCAGCCCCCTTGCCAGATTTTCTTAACTTACATATTTCTGTCTGTCTGTCTGTCTGTCTGTCTGTCTGTCTGTCAGTCATGTTAACAGCATTCTCCCTGCGTGTATGCTTGCCTGCCAGGAGAGGGCACCAAATCTCAGTATAGAGGATTGTGAGCCATCATGTGGTTGCTGGGAATTGAACTGAGGACTTCTGGAAGAGCATTTAGTGTTCTTGACCTCTAAGCTATCTCTCCAGCCTCTTCTTAACTTATATTATCCTGACTACTTTTTGCCTCTGGACTTTTATCTTTCTCTATTTCTGTATACCCTTCTTTCCTTCTTACTCTGTGACTGGCTGAGTGGCTGGCCCCAGTGGCCTCCTCTTAGATTTCTCCTTCTATTTATACTCTCTGCCCTGCCTATCCTTGCTCCTGCCCTGACCATTCATTTCTTTATTAGGATCATCAGGTGTTTCAGACAGGCACAGTAACAGTTTCACAGATAAACAGATGCAGCATAAACAAAAGTCACATACCTGAAAATAGTATTCCCTAACATTCTTTGTAACATTTGTCCCAACTGCCCAGAACTGAAATAATCACACAGATACTGTATTTATTAAATCACTGTTTGGTCCATTAGCTCTAGCTTCTTATTGGCTAACTCTTACATCTTAATTTAACCCATTTCTAGTAATCTGTATATAGCCAGTGGCTTACTGGCAAAGATTCTAACCGGTGTCTGTCTCAGGCTGGGGATCCATGGCTTCTCCTTCCCAGAATTCAGTTCCTTCTTCCCCACCTACCTAAGTTCTGCCCCGCCTACCTAAGTTCTGCCCTATCAACAGTCCAAGGCAGTTTCTTTATTAGACAAAAGGGCCTCCTATACCAATTCTTCTTTTTATTTTTTTTTTAAATTCATTGTTAGGTGATACTAAACAATGGGTTTCATTGTGATGTGTGTGTATTGGTATACTTTATTCTATTTGTCCCTTGAATTGTTCCTTAAAAGCAGCCACAACTCCACTACTAAAAACAGGTAGAAGAGATGGCTCAGCTGTTAAGAGCACGTATTGCTATGGTAGAGGACCTGAGTTCAGCTCCCAGCACCCACATTAGACATCTTACAACTACCTGTAATTCCAGCTCCTGTGGCCCAGATGCCCTCTTCTGGCCCCTGAAGGGCGTCTGCAGTCATAAGTACCCATACTCCAACCTGGACACAGACACATAATTAAAAATGAGTGAAAATTAAACAGCCATAACTATGATGTTTACCCAGATCTATTGCAAACACAACCTAAATATATCACAACAACACAACCAGGAAAGAAAGAAAGAAAGAAAGAAAGAAAGAAAGAAAGAAAGAAAGAAAGAAAGAAAGAGGCATCTTTAAAAAGACTTGCTCTTGCATGTCTATAGACTATCAGACTATCTCAGGAGCAATTCTTAGCTAGAATCACCAGGAGCCTTGTTGCTTACACAAATTTTTTTTTTTTTTGGATTTTTTTTGAGACAGGGTTTCTCCGTAGCTTTTGGTTCCTGTCCTGGAACTAGCTCTTGTAGACCAGGCTGGCCTCGAACTCACAGAGATCCGCCTGCCTCTGCCTCCCCGAGTGCTGGGATTAAAGGCGTGCGCCACCGCCGCCCGGCTTTACACAGATATTTTTAGGGGAGGGTTAATAAATGTTTCCAAGGCACTTTGTTGTTTTGTTTTTCTTCTTTTTTTTTTTTTTCCTTCTAACGTGTATAGGTGTTCTGTCTGAATGTTTGTCTGTGCACCACATACATCCTTGGTGCCTAAGGAGGCCAGAAGAGTGCATCAGATCTCCTGTAGCAGGAGTTAGAGACAGTTGTGTGTTGTCTGATGTGGATTCTGGGAACTGAACTCAGGTCCTCTGCAAGAGCAACAAATGCTCTGGACCACTGAGCCAGCTCTCAGGCCCTTCAAGGTGGTTTATTTTATTTTTTATTTTTTATCTCAAAACCCATTGGATCCTTTAATGTATCATTAAACATTATTTTTTTTTTTTTCGAGACAGGGTTTCTCTGTGTAACATCCCTGGCTATTCTGGAACTCGATTTGTAGATCAGGCTGGCCTTGAGCTCACAGAGATCCCCCCCCCACCACCACCACCACCACCACCACCGCCCTGTGCCTCTGCTTCCTGAGTACCCAGCTTGGATTTCTTTTCTGTTTGTTTACTTGCTTTGTGTGTGTGCCTGTGTGTGCGCGCTCACGTGTGTGTGTGTGTGTGTGTGTGTGTGTGTGTGTGTGTAGGGGGATATACATACATATGTGTGCACATGTATGTGTTGATGACATTTTCCTGTGTATATAAGCCAGAGGCCCACTTCCAGTACTTTCCTCTGTCTGTTTCCACCTTATTTTTTGAGACAAAGTCTCTCCTCTCATTGAACCCTGAGCTAGCTCTTTGGTGCAGCTGCCTGACTAGCAAGGCCCCAGGATGCACTAGACTCCATCCTCTAGAGTGTTAGGGTTAATGTTATGCCCAGCCTTTATGTGTATATGTGATGTCCCAACCCAGTTCTAATGTTTGTAAAATGAATATCCACTGTCATCTTTCCAGCCTCCCTTTGGGTTTTAGATTTTTGTTTGTTTGTTTGTTTGTTTTTGTAACTAGTTACCAAATTTATTTATTCATAGGTCCTTTTGTTTAAATGTTTTTTTATTACTTATTATATATACAGTATTCTGCCTACATGTATACCTGCAAGCCAGAAGAGGGCATCAGATCTCACTACAGATGGTTGTGAGCCACCATGTGGTTGCTGGGAATTGAACTCAGGACCTTTGGGAGAGCAGGCAATGCTTTTAACCTCTGAGCCATCTCTCCAGCCCTCATAGGTCCTTTTTAATGAACATAACTACTTACAGTTTTCTGGTGTGTACTAAGAAACCCAGTTTGGAAAATGTTTCTTATGAGCTGGTTGTATATTTTTATTTTCACACTTGAAATATATGAAATATTGAAGTATATGCAATATATGTAGTTCTAAAGCTGGTCTGAGCTGGTTCTGATGTGTGGTTTAGTGCTATAGCACATGCTTAGCATACATAGAATGTCAGATTTGTTCCCCAACAGTCCTCTGCAAAAGAGGGGCTGCTCTGTGCAGCCTTTTATATACTCTGACTTTAAGTGACATCTAAAAATTGCTTTTTCTGTCAAATAAGAGATGAAGACATGGAGCTGGAGAAATGGCTCAGAGTTTAAGAGTGCTGCTGCCCTTCCAAAGCAACCACATGGTGGCTCACAACCATCTATAATGAGATCTGGTGCCCTCTTCTGACCCGCAGGCATACATGCAGGCAGAACACTGTATACATAATGCATCTTTTAAAAATACAGGAGCTGCTTCTGTGGTGTGCACCTGTGTTCACTGCACTGGGTAGGTAGAGTCAACAGGAAGAAATATTCGGTGTCACCTGACATAGTGAGTTAGACCCTGTCACAAACGAATGTTCCTGATAGAGTTAGTTAAGAAATAACTTCATAGGGGCCTAGAGAGATGGCTCAGAGGTTCAGAGCACTGGCGGCTCTTCCAGAAGCTGTGTTTTCAATTCCCAGCAACCACATCATCGTGGCTCACAGTCATCTGTAATGAGATCTGGTGCCCTCTTCTGCCATGCAGGCATACATGTGGACAAAACACTGTATGAATAATAAATAATTTTAAAAAATCTGGTAGGTTCTGAGTAAATATAATAATTAAGAAGGCTTGACAAGTTAAACAAAATAACACATACTCCAAAATTTTTCTAGAGTCTTTTAGATATCCTTATTTAAGGTCTCTTGTTGTTTTGATTCTGATTGTTTCCCTTTTTCAAAGTACTAGGAATAGTTTCTTTTGTTTGTTTGTTTTTGTTTTTCAAGACAGGGTTTCTCTGTAGTTTTGGAACCTATCATGGAACTAGCTCTTGTAGACCAGACTGACCTCGAACTCAAAGAGATCCACCTGCCTCTGCCTCCCAAGTGTAGATAGTTTCTTAAATAACAATTAACTGAAGAGCCTGAATTTAGCAGAAGACTTGAGTTGGACATTTAGATTTTGTTTTTATTTTTTAAGTACATGTATATGAGAGTGTGGGTTTGTGTATTTGAGTACACAAACCACAGGAGCCAGAGTGCATTGCATCCCTAGAGCTGGAATTTGTGGTTGGGAGCTGCCCAGTGTGGGTACTGGCAACCAAACCCACATCCTCTGTAAGAGCAGTATCGTCCCTCCAGCTCCTACTGTGTCTCCCATTTCCTGAGGAAAGCCACTTCTCCGTCTGAGCCATGGGTCTCTCCTCCACAGAGATGGACTTTCACGATAAATGTGAGCATTCACGGTTATGCATGTTAAGAACATGTGTGTTGCCGGGCGGTGGTGGCGCACGCCTTTAATCCCAGCACTCGGGAGGCAGAGGCAGGCGGATCTCTGTGAGTTGAGACCAGCCTGGTTTACAAGAGCTAGTTCCAGGACAGGCTCCAAAACCACAGAGAAACCCTGTCTCGAAAAAAATCAAAAAAAAAAAAAAATGTGTGTTGCCGTTGCCATTCAGCTCAGTCCACCCTCCCCTGTGGATGATGTATGGACTTCCCACTTTTGCATTCTCACCTGATGCTGAAGTAGACTGAAGCCGGGAGATGGTGGCGCACGCCTTTAATCTCAGCACTCGGGAGGCAGAGGCAGACGGATCTCTGAGAGTTCGAGGCCATTCTGGTCTGTAAGAACTAGTTCCAAGACAGGCTCCAAAGCTACAGAGAAACCCTGTGACGAAAAAGGAAAAAACAAAAGAAAAGTAAAAGAAAGAGGACCCGGTACTGGAGCTGGGCATGGTGTAGCTGAGTGGTAGAGCACCTAATGGCGAACCCAAAATCCTGGGTTTACTGTGCAGCACCGAGGATAGAGGAATAAACAGAACCCTTGGTTGAGTGCCAGGAACACAGTAGGAATGTTTATGCACTGACCGTTTCCGCATTATTTACTCCTTACAGACTTTGAGATCAGGAGCGAGAACGAAACAAACCCGAAAGAAGAGCTCAGTGAAGATGTGGAGTTTGTGACCATGTCCGAAGAGCCTATTGGGGATGCTGAGAAGAACCCGGAAAGCGAAGAGGCCTTTGAAAGCGGGGACAGGTCCGAAAGACAGTGGGGAGAGCTGACCGCAGAGGAGTGGGTCAGCTACCCTCTCCAGCAGGTCACTGACCTGCTGGCCCACAAAGAAGTCCACACAGGCATCCGCTATCACATATGTTCTCAGTGTGGGAAGGCCTTCAGTCAGATTTCAGACCTCAATCGACACCAAAAAACGCACACGGGAGACAGACCCTACAAGTGTTACGAATGCGGCAAGGGCTTCAGCCGCAGCTCCCACCTTATCCAGCATCAGAGAACACACACGGGCGAGCGGCCCTACGACTGCAACGAGTGCGGAAAGAGCTTTGGAAGGAGCTCTCACCTCATTCAGCACCAAACAATCCACACCGGGGAGAAGCCCCACAAGTGTAACGAGTGTGGGAAGAGCTTCTGCCGGCTGTCCCACCTCATCCAGCACCAGCGGACCCACAGCGGGGAGAAGCCCTACGAGTGTGAGGAATGCGGGAAGAGCTTCAGCCGGAGCTCGCACTTGGCTCAGCACCAGAGGACGCACACGGGTGAGAAGCCTTACGAGTGTAACGAGTGCGGACGGGGCTTCAGCGAGCGCTCCGACCTCATCAAGCACTACCGTGTGCACACGGGCGAGAGGCCCTACAAGTGTGAGGAGTGCGGGAAGAACTTCAGTCAGAACTCTGACCTGGTGCGGCACCGCAGGGCCCACACCGGGGAGAAGCCGTACCACTGCAACGATTGCGGGGAGAACTTCAGCCGCATCTCGCACTTGGTCCAGCACCAGCGGACGCACACGGGAGAGAAGCCCTACGAGTGCACGGCCTGTGGGAAAAGCTTCAGCCGCAGCTCCCATCTGATCACACACCAGAAAATTCACACCGGGGAGAAGCCCTATGAGTGTAACGAGTGCTGGCGAAGCTTCGGGGAGAGGTCAGATCTGATTAAGCACCAGAGGACTCACACGGGAGAAAAGCCCTACGAGTGTGTGCAGTGTGGAAAGGGGTTTACGCAAAGCTCCAACCTCATCACCCATCAAAGAGTTCACACGGGAGAGAAGCCTTACGAATGTACCGAGTGTGACAAGAGTTTCAGCCGGAGCTCAGCTCTTATTAAACACAAGAGAGTCCATACCGACTAAGTCCTGTATTCCTGAGTAAGAAATGACTTGTGGAGGTACAGTTATATTCGATTTGATATCAGTGAGCTTTCTTAAGACTGACTTTCCTTATTGTTGGCCACAGTTTAAAACATGGAAGCATACAGCCCTTTGAAATTCCGACCCACAGCGTTGGGGACATTTTCCCCTTCTCCAAAATAGTTATTTTCCTTCTCCGATTTTATTACGTGAATCGCTTCATCAAAAGCAGCCCCCGTCCCTAGTAACTTGAAAGCTGAAGACCAGAGGACAAGATGCTTAGGCCTGGAAATGGAGTAGATTTTTAAAAAGTTGTTTTTTTCCTCTCGTATCCTTGGCCCCAAAAGACTGCAGCGGGAATGTAGAACTGGACTAGGGTGGCCGCAGCTGCTCTGGAAGAAGGCAGGCGGACTTGTCCTGAGTAGCCACTGTTCACACACCGCAGTAGCCGGGCTCATGCACTCCCCTTCCAAAGGGCTTTTTCCTTGAGTAGCTCATATCGGTACCTTGCCATCTTGCTCATAGGATTCTGCACGCTGAAGGCAGTGACTGAATCATTTCTCCTTGTTTCTCACTTGTGTATAGCTTGCATGCTTTTGAAGCTACCGGAGGATACAGTGTGAAAGGAGAAGGGTACAAGTTTGAGGACCAAGGGCCCTTGGGTGGTGGTGACCTTAGCAAGAGATACCCATTGATGCTGTCTTTAATCAGGTTTATCAATTGTCTTCAGAAATCACTTTAGAGACCGTAGTGTGGAAACTGCCTTTAGGAGAGGGCGGGCCCGCAGGTGATGATGTAAGGAGTAGAAGTGGGTTGACTCCTTCAGGGAAGGGAGCACCGAGCCCTTCCCAGGGAGCGACGGTCATTTCTGTGTCCTTTGCCGTCTAACTTGGAACAGTTAGGTCACTCGCCCTTGTACTGCTAACTCTAGGGTTTGATAGGGCCACGCCCCAGTCTCTCTCGTAGCAAGGCACGTGTATGTACAGTGAAGTGTGTATTCTAATAGCAGAGACCGAATTCCTAAGAATCAGCATGTTCTTATGTGATGTAGACCATAAGATAGAACTGTAGGCATACTCCATGTGGAAAATTCCTTTATTTTTCTTGTGTTATGGGAAAGAATTTGAACACTAGTGTGCGAGCGTGCACTCTCCTGTAAGGCTTGGTTTTGTACAGAACTAAACTCTTGCTTGTATGTGTCCATCAGTTGTGAGAGAATGACTGGACAGTTAGGTCCTTTGCCCTTTCTCAGACTGAGTTATCTTCTCCTGTGATGAAACCTCTTTGGCCTCATCAGAAGAAATGAATAAACCGAAAGAGGAGTGTGTTTCCTGCCTCCAGGGACAAAGAGTTACAGTGAGAGTCGCCTAGTGTCGCCCAGTACCTCAGTTCTCTTTATCTCAGCCCAGGCAGGAATGATGAGTAGCCCGGATATTGGTGCTTACTCTGTCCCGTGGGGATGGAATGGGATGGGGCCCAGTGCATTTTTATGGTGCTTAGTGCAAACTTGCAAATGTTAACATGTTTTTTTTTTTTCAAGAAACTTTTTTTTTTTTTTTGCAGGGGTGGGGATTAGGGGTGGCACATGCCTTTAATCCCAGCACTTGGGAGGCAGAGGCTGGCAGAACTCTGTGAGTTCAAGGCCAGCCTGGTTTACAGGATTGAGTTCCAGGACAGCCAGGGCTACACTGAGAGTCCCTGTCTTGAAAAACAAAAAACCTTTTTGTTGAAGTTCTTTGGGATTTGGCATTTAGTGCTTTCACTACAGAGTCACTGTTAGCGCAACTGGGTGATACCATGACACTCACTAGTGACAGCCTCAAAAGCAACCGAATGAAAACCACTCCAAGGGGCCCCTCCCATTTGAGTACGAACTTGGGGCAGGGCACACGGTTTCTATTCTGTACGACATCTAGCCTGCCATGGGTATTCACATTTTAACCGTTAGGTGACTTCCATCTTCTTGGTAACTAAACTCAGATATGGCATCTGTATGTAGCCAATGACTTGGTTGGATTTCAGCATTGTCCTGTCGTGTCTTTGAGTCACTGTGAGTGACTGCTTGGGAGTAGCTTGTGGAAGACAGCACCTCCGATCCAACTTCATTCTACCCCTTTCCCTACCCTGTCCCCATCCCCCCCAGCCCTGCAACGCCACCTCCAGCCTTCATGTAAAGGTTCTGCTAGTGTGCCATTTGCTGCTTTTGCCTTCTAGATGAAAGGCTCAGGGAGGGTCTCTGATTGCCTTCCCATCTCCCCATAACCTGTCTGCGCCAGCTGAGTGCCCTCCCTCCTGCAGTCATCCGCTGCCCACTCCCAGTGCTGAGCTCTGTGGGAGTCGTGCGTCTGCCACACTTCACCAATGCTGTTTGTGAGCGCCTGGCTGTTCCTGCACATACCCAGACACTCTGTGCCCATGTTCTGTGGTTGTGGAGAGCGGATCCCCTTGGCATTGGTCAGTTATCCTAGTGTCTTGTCTATGGCTATATTATCCTAACAATATTCTATAATTAAAGGTATAATTTTTAAAGTCAAAACAATGGAGTTACTTTGGTAATCTCAAACAGGTTGCTATCAGAGCCTCTCATCAGGTTTAGGTTTATTGTACAGATATTTTGCGTAGACTTCCTGTAGGAATTGAGGATTCAGTCAATGTCTTGAGCTCTTTGGGTATGCCACATCTCAACTGGTCGGTATAAAAGCCTAGATAGTTTCCTAAGATGTCCATGCCAGTGGCAAAAGCAAGGTGGTATTGGGAATGAGTATCTAGGTAGCTTTGCAGGAAAAAGGAAAACACGTCCAAAAGGAAAAGTTAGGATCTTTGTTTTAAAAAGCGTTTCTAGAGGCTGGAGAGCTGCTCTTGCAGAGGTCCTGAGTTCAGTTCCCAGCAGCCACATGATGGCTCACAACCATCTGTAGTGGGATCAGTTGCCCTCTTCTGGCATAAAGACGTACAAGCAGATAGAGCACTCAGGTACTCAAATGGATGAATAAACAAACAAATCTTTGAGAGAGAGAGAGAGAGTTAGTTTCTGGAAACATTACCAAGAGCCAGCACCAGGCACAGTGGCGCATGCCTGTTACCCCAGTGCTCAGGAGGCAGAGCCAGGTGAATTTCTGAATTTGAGGCCAGCCTGGTCTACATATAGCAAGACCCTGTCTCCACACAAACAAAATCAACTAAAACAGCTAGTGAGATGGCTCAGTGGTCAAAGGTGCATTCAGTAGAAGCCTAATGACCTGAGTTTGGTAGGAAGCGAGAACAAACTCCCGGTAGTTGTCCTCTGACGGACCGCCGTGTGATTGGCTTGTGCTTCCCCTACCCCAAACAGGTTATTAAACAAAAGGTAGCAAAACAATCAGGCTGTCTCTTAGGAACAGTCAGATCTTGTGATTCAAGATGAGCAGGGGCTGGAGAGGTGGCTCAGCATTTGAGAACACTTCCTGCTTTTGCGAAGGAGCAGGTTCGATTCCCCAGCCCCCACATAGTGGCTTTACAACTGTCCATAACTCCAGAGGATCCAAGACCCTCTTCTGGCCTTTGTGGGCACCAAGCCCAGGAGTGGTACCCACACATACATGCGAACAAAGCTCTGATATATGCCAAAATTTATTTTTATTTTAGATTTGTGTTTTTGAGACAGGGTTGATCTATGTAGATTTGGGTGTCTTAGAACTCACTCTGTAGACCAGGCTGTCCTCGAACTCAGAGATCTGCCAGCCTCCACCTCCCAAGTGCTGGGATTAAAGAGGTCTGCCACCACCACCCAGTGAAAAGATGTTTAATTTGTGGTGGCAAGATGGCTGAAAGGCACTTGGCCATGAAACCTGGCAACCTGAGTTTGATCCCTGGATTCCTGTGATGGAAGGTGAGAACAGATTGCCACATGTTGCCCTATAATAAATAATAATTGTAATAAACTTAAAAAATAAGCTGTTTCTTGCTGAGGATAGTATCATAGGCCTGTGTCCCAGCTACTTGGGAGAGGACCTTAGGGAATCACTGGCGAGCAGGGTTTGGACCTAGGCTGAACAGCATTGAAAGACTCTCAAGGATAGCTCAATGGTTAAGAACACCTGCATTCTTCTAGAACACCTTCCTGGGTTCGATTCCTAGCACCCCTACGCTCTTTAAAACTGTCTTTAGGGGGGCTGGAGAGATGGATCAGCGGTTAAGAGCATTGCCTGCTCTTCCAAAGGT